CGCTCTTGTTACCCAGGCTGGAGTGCAATGGCCCAATCTCAGCTCACCGCAACCTCCGCCTCCTGGGTTCAGGCAATTCTCCTGCCTCAGCCTCCTGAGTCGCTGGGATTACAGGCGTGTGCCACCATGCTCAGCTAATTTTTGTATTTTTAGTAGAGACGGGGTGTCACCATGCTGACCAGGATGGTCTCGATCTCTTGACCTCGTGATCCACCCGCCTCGGCCTCCCAAAGTGCTGGGATTACAGGCTTGAGCCACCGTGCCCGGCTGATAACATATATTTTTTATATAGTCTATATATATATTTTTGTTTTTTGTTTGTTTGTTTTTTAGACAGAGACTTGCTTTGTCACCCAAGCTGGAATGATCTTGGCTCATTGCAACCTCTGCCTCCCCAGTTCAAGCAATTCTTGTGCCTCAGCCTCCTGAGTAGCTAAGACTACAGGCTCGTACCACCACACCCACCTAATTTTTTGGCACTTTTAGTAGAGATGGGGTTTCACCATGTTGGCTAGGGTGGCCTTGAACTGCTGACCTCAGGTGATTCTAGGCCTTGGCCTCCCAAAGTGCTGGGATTACAGGCATGAGCCACTGCACTCAGCCTAAATATATTTTTAAAAATAAATAGAGTTGGGGTGTCAGTGCGTTGCTCAGGCTGATCTCAAACTCCTGAGCTCAAGTTATTCTCCCGCTTTGGCCTCCCAAAGTGCTGGGATTGCAGGATGAGCTACCATGCCCAGCCAAGGAATTTTTTGTTGTTTTTTAATTTTTTTTTTTTTTTTTTTTTTAAGATGGAGTCTTACTATGTTGCCTGCTCTAGTTTTGAACTCCTGAGGTCAAGTAATCCTCCTACCACAGACTTCTAAGTAGTTGGGACTGCAGGGCATGGTCTACTGCATCTGGCTTAAAGCTTGATTTTAATGTGGAATCCGAAGTGATACCTATAAACTTTATACTCTGTCACATTAAAATGTGGATCTTATACTTCAAATGGATCTTTTACACATATATTGGCCATCTGGAAAATACTGGCTCACTGTGTTATGCCAGTCTTTCAAATGTTGACTCCTTTTATTGTACAGTATTTTAAAAATTACATATTGTAATATTACTGATCTCATAAGAAAAGTATCTAAGTATTGGGAAGCTCATTAGTTTAATAGTAGTAGATGCAAGTTTTTCAAAATTATAACTCAAAAGCCAAGATTTTATCATTGCAACAAATACTGTCAGTGTTGTCCTTCAAGTGACCAGCTCACTTCATTCACTTTTGAGAAAATATTTACTAGATACCCTAAATAACCATAGTTGTCAGTCATTCTTTGAAGTTAAAAATGGAGTTCTGGCCGGGTGCGGTGGCTCATGCCTATAATCCCAGCACTTTGGGAGGCTGACGCTGGCAGATCATGAAGTCAGGAGTTCAAGACCAGACTGGGCCAACATGGTGAAACCCTGTCTCTACTAAAAAATACAAAAATTAGCTGGGCATGGTGGCTTATGCCTGTAACCCCAGCTACTTGGGAGACTGATGTCAGAGAATTGCTTGAACCGGGACCCAGGAGGCGCAGGTTACAGTGAGCTGAGATTGCGCCACTGCACTCCAGCCTGGGCTACAGAGCAAGACTCCATCTCAAAAAAAAAAAAAAAAAAAAAAAAAAGAAAGGAAAGAAAATGGAGTTCCGGGCCGGGCACAGTGGCTCACACCTGTAATCCCAGCACTTTGAGAGGCTAAGGTGGACAGATCACGAGGTCAAGAGATTGAGATCATCCTGGCCAACACCACGAAACCCTGTCTCTACTAAAAATACAAAAATTAGCTGGGCATGGTGGCCTGCCCCTGTAGTCCTGGCTACTTTGGAAGCTAAGGCAGGAGAATCACTTGAACCGGGGAGATGGAGGTTGCAGTGAGCCAAGATCGTGCCACTGCACTCCAGCCTGGTGACAGAGTAAGTTTCTGTCTCAGAAAAAAAAAAAAGAAAATGGAGTACCATTTAAAAAGCAGCAGTTCGGCTTGTGACTCACTCACCCAAGTATCTTTCCTTGAGACATCCTATACCACAGATGCTTTATGCATTCACATTTCATAAACACAAAATATTAAAGAGACTTCTACTCAAGAGCTGTAACTTAATAGATTCTAATTTTTACTTCTACTTAAGCAAAACTGGCATTTTTCTTTTTCCTGGAAGTGTGTGGTGGTGAGGAGTGCTGTGACATCTAGTGGAGTTTAATAATAGTGTCTTGATTCGTGCTAAGACACCAGCAGTTTTACTCATCTTTGCTTTTGCATCATCACTGTAAATGCTGACACAGTGAGTAAAGGCAAATAATGTCTTTGTGTTGTTCTAAAAGTAGTTTTGACTGTGTGTATCCCTTGAAAAGGTTTTAGAGACCTCTCAAAGTCTGTAGACCACACTTAGAGAACGAACCATTGGTCCACAGATAAATCCTTCATTAAGCCTAATGTTAAATGAGGGAATCGAGAGGAGTGTTTAGATAGGATTTATGTCACAATATTGCATAGAGGCTGTGCTTCACAGTTATCAATTCTGTTAAAAATCTCTGGAGGGCCGGGCGCGGTGGCTCAAGCCTGTAATCCCAGCACTTTGGGAGGCCGAGGCGGGTGGATCACGAGGTCAAGAGATCGAGACCATCCTGGTCAACACAGTGAAACCCCGTCTCTACTAAAAATACAAAAAATTAACTGGGCATGGTGGTGCATGCCTGTAATCCCAGCGACTCAGGAGGCTGAGGCAGGAGAATTGCCTGAACCCAGGAGGCGGAGGTTGCGGTGAGCCGAGATCGTGCCATTGCACTCCAGCCTGGGTAACATGAGTGAAACTCCGTCTCAAAATAAATAAATAAATAAATAAATAAATAAATAAATAAATAAATCTCTGGAAAGCTTTGGAAGAAGATGTATTACTAAATTTATTTTTTATTGTATCTTTATTTTTTGTTGTTGGTAAGATCTATCCTCAGGAGAGACACAGCATAAGAGTTCCTGAGTCTGGAGAACATTATGAACTGCATCTTTTGCACTACCTTCAAGAAAACCTTGGATCACGTATTGCTGCTCTAAAAGTGATATAATTTTGGCCTGTGTAGAACTCTGGTATACACTGGCTATTTAACCAAAAGAGGAGGTTTAATCAATAGAAAACACAGAGTTGATCATCACATTTTGGTACCTGCCACATAACATCTATTCCTGACAGTAAATGTGGTACCATGCAGGGGTCTATGGCTTGTGGTGGTAATCATACACCTTAACCCTACGTGCTCAAAATTGAATGATGTGTATTCCTGAGAGACCCAGCAATACCACAAGAATTACTAAAAAAAAATAAAAAAAAAAAAAAAAAAAAAATTAGCACCATGTATTCATACTAACCTATTTTCACTTTTAATAGCATTACAAACCTCATGAACTTAGTGTATTTTTACAGTATACTTTTTGAGTTTGTTAAAATATGATGATATTAGTGATTGGTTTGGTTCAGTTCCAGAATCTCAGACTAATTACAGATTTGATAGCACTTAAATGTAATTGAATAGCTTATGCTTCATTGCTTGGGCATATGCAGCATGTTATGAACTAATAACTATTAAACTTGACTTAACCAGTCATTCATTAATGATTTTTCAAAGATAACTTAGTGGCCTCCTAAAGACACTTGTTTTGGCTCTGACCAGTTTTTAGCCAATTTAATCTGTATCTAGTATAAATAATTCTCATTTTTCTTTAATGATATTGACAGAGTGGGCTTTTCCTTTTGCATAAAGGCTAGTAACTGTATGTAGCATGGATTTAATTAGTCATGATAGTGATAATTACAGGCAGAAAAATTTTAATCAAATGATTAGAGCTTAAATATTTGCAGGCAAGTTTTTTTTTCCTTTAAGAAAAGGAAAAGTAAACATTCTCTAGAATTCTTCAGAAAATTTAGTAGTGCCAGTTTCCATTTGGTATTTCCTTATTAAAATATTCTAGAATTTTAAGGAGATCGAAGGGAATCACAGTGGGGTGGGGACATGGGTTTGGGGAATGACAGAGAGAAGAGGTGGTGAGGGCCTGATTAAGAACTAAGCAGAAGCAGTTTTGACAAAAATACTCATGAAAATGTTTAGAAAGTGAAATTTAAACAACTAGAATATTAAGGAAACTGAAATCAAGAAATCACTGTCTTGCCAACACAGCTACAGAGTAACATGATTCAGGGGAGGAAAAGTAGTTCCTTAGAGTTACTTTTATAATTCTAATTTTTTTTATTCTTCCTCTTGATTTTAGAAATCTTACCAATTTAAACTTTATCCTATTAAAATTATTTGAACATAATTTAGATATTGTAAGCTTAAAATACAAAGGTTTACAGATAACCTCTTTACCATAAACTAATCCCTGGCAAGCCATGGCCCGCTCGCTCTCTTTTTTTGTTTTTTTCCTTCGTGTTTAAAGGCTATAAACAGTTTTCTTGAATGGTCATGAACTTTTCTTGGTTAGCCCTAGCATTTAGCTATGAAGAGAGCTCATAGGCTTTCAGGTGCTAATTGAGATATGCCCTCGGGGTGCTAAGTTGGTCACGTTGGCACCAGTGACAGGGAAGGCATCTATGAGTTTGATGCTTTTTATCACACACTTGAGTGTTTAGAAAGTTATTACCGGTACTTTTAAACAACACTCCAAGAAAATTTGCTGTATTTCTTTCTCATCACTACAGAGAGAATAGATTTCCCTATAGAGAGCATTGCCTCCATTAGTAAGGTCGCTGACTGTTGGTAAGAGGTGGACTTCATAGGAGGCAGGGAAAGCCCAGAAATGGCAGGATGACCTGGTGGCTCTGTCATTGGGAACGGTATTGGGTTTTGCTGTTTGTATTTATACTGTATAATAGATAACTACGGTTTTTCTTACTGTCTGTATATGTATTGCTTTTCATGTTTGATATTTTCCCCATGCCAAGATATGTTTATATATATTTTCAATGTTAAATTAAATTGATTTGGGTAGCTTTCTTCCCCAAGAAAGTATTTTCCACCTTAAGTATATATCTCACTGTGGAGGTTGTTTTGTTTCGTTTTGTTTGAGCTAATCGGCCTCAAGGGATCTATCCTTATATGCAAAGTAGAAATGGTATACAGTAGCTTTTAAGCAGCTACTCCATTGAAACCTCTCACCCATTAAGGCTGTTTCTTCAAAATGGGATCTCTTATTTTATCAGAAAAACCTTAGAAAACTTCATGTACTCTTGAATTCACAGGTGTTTTCCTTTTGCATCTACCCTTCTTTCCTTCTATCACAAAGAATGCGTGATATCACTACCAGTCACTTAAATGCCATTCTACTTCTTTAGTGGGAAAAAATACCTGAATGAATTCACTTACAGAAAGACAATTTGACTGAATTTGCTTTTTACAACTAGTGTGGAAAATACCATAGGCAATTGAGGCAATCAGTAGAAATCTCACTAAAAGTTTGTACTCCCTGAGTGTGGTTAACAGCTTAAATGGCAAGAATCTATAAAAGTAGCAACAGTTTAGTGGGAGCCAAAAAGCACTAGTATAAATATCATACTGGGTTTTTACAGACTTGATAAATATGTACAGATGAACAACCATCAAGAGGGTTAGTTACTTGAGCAGTATAGAGTAGTGGAACTCAGAATCTAAGATTTATCTGGGGCACTTACTAAAAGAAATGTAGAGTTTTGAATCTCACTCTTAAAAATTTGTATTCCTAGGCTGGGGATGGTGGCTCATGCCTGTAATCCTAGCACTTTGGGAGGCCAAGGCGGGTGGATCACTTGAGGTCAGGAGTTCAGACCAGTTTGGTCAATGTGGTGAAACCCCGTCTCTACTAAAACTACAAAAAGTTAGCCGGGCATAATGGTGTGTGCCTATAATCCAACCTACTCGGGAGGCTGAGGCAGGAGAATCGTTTGAGCCTGGGAGGCGGAGGTTGCAGTGAGCTGAGATCGCACCACTGTGCTGCAGCCTGGGCAACAGAGCGAGACTCTGCCTCCAATAAATAAATAAATAAAAATTTGTATTCCGTTGATTTGGATAGACATCAGGAATGTGCATTTCTAACAAGCTTTCCAGGCGATCCTACAGTAAGTATCTATGGACAACTTTAAGAAACTCTTCTATAGAGAATGGAGTTGGATTAATAATAGGCGATTTTTACACTGGACTGATTCACAAGAACCTAAACAGTAGTCCATGAAGCTGCTCATCTGTGGTAACTGTTTGGCCCGGTCTCACTCTGAAAGCAGCAGAAGATGTTAGTTACTTTGTTTCTTCCTCTTTGTCTGGAGATTCATTTTGGAATGAAGGTTTTTCCCTCTATGCCATTCCTAGTTCTTTTCCAAAGCTTCATACAAGAGGATCAGGTCACAATGCGTGCATTACCTTTTAAAAGAATGCGATATTGATACCGATGCTTACTTTTTTTTCTGTTTTACTTCTTGTCTTATTCCTTCCAGGAAGCACAGCTTACCTTTCTGTGGCATAGTTCTCCTCAGGCGGAGTGTTTCCTGTAACACCCGTCACTGAGTCATGTATTTTTCAAGATGGAATGAATCTTTGATTTAATCTAATCTACTATTCTTATTTGTTAGAAGAACAACCTACATGCTAGAGAGAGAGGAGGAAATATACCCGTGACCACACAGCCAGTTAGTATCCAGGTGGTGCTGGACCCAGCCAGGTGTCCTGCCTCATGGTAGTTAAATTATATGTAGAAAAGGTAAATTTTTAAAGAAATATTTATTAATATATTCCTATAAAACATTTTAAAGGTAACCACATAAAAATGGTTAATTTTTCCATTCCAAAGTAAATGCTAAGCATGCTTATTAACGAAGCAGTACTTGTAATTAGTATATGACATTCTGAAGTTAATTAAAATCACTGCACTAAATGTGTCTTCCTTGGTATAGTGGGGGATTTGAGGATTGGAATATAGAGTAGAGTGCTTGCTTAAGCCTGGGAGCCCATCTTACAGCTCTTTAATGTAAGCAAAGAGACATGGCCATTTCTAAACTATATAAGGTGAGTGTCTATTCCCAGCAGATACAAAGGAAAAAGGAAACTCTTGACTTCCACCTTCCCAGTCTCACCCAGCCTCGCCTATCCGTCTTCCAACCTCACATATGGAGATACTAGTGCAAGGTGCTGGGCTTTAGGTAATCATTTAAGTCCTTTGCAGATAAAGAAAAAGTAGTGTTTGTATGTTTGTTTTTAAGTGACCCAAAAACAAATTTATATTGTGTTCAGCAGAATTGGAGTTCAGGTGTTTAATTTTAGAACATCAAGTGCCTGCTGTTTTAAGCATTAACTTGTATAAAAAGAATTGCATGTCTCACTCCAGTAAGCTTATGGGATTTCTCATTTTTAGCTATATGGCTTTTAATCATGTAAAGTGAAACATTAGTTCTGTTGCATTTTATTACAGATTCTTTGTTGCAATAAAGATGCTGCTGAAATTAATTGATTTAAATGTTCCTTTTTCTCCCACTTCCTCATGGGAAATGTGCAACATTGCCTTGATGAGTGACAACTGTGGAGTGACTAATACACGTGACCAAGATAATGTGCTTGGAGTGGAGAAGGGAGACTGCAGCATGAAGGATGGCTTGGGGGTTTTACATGCACTAACCACAGTGTATCCAGGCCCAATGGGAGGTGTGCAGAGAACTGCCTTCTACCTGCAGGTGGTCCCAACAACCAGCGGTTGATACTAGAAGGGCAAATGGTGCTTAGAGCCAGTGAGGAGCATATCTTCCTCACTCCACCCCCACGCAGCTAGGGGTTTGAGGGAATACCACCTAGAGTCGATTTCGAGGGAGTTTGATGTAGTACGTTTTTCAGAGGGTTGTTTTTTGTTGTTTTTTTGTTTTTTTTTGAGGTGGAGTCTTGCTGTGTCACCCAGGCTGGAGTACGGTGGTTCAGTCTTGGTGCACTGCAACCTCCCGTGCCCAGGTTCAAGCAATTAGCCTGCCTCAGCCTCCAGAGTAGCTGGGATTACAAGTGCCGGCCACCACACTCGGCTAATTTTTGTATTTTTAGTAGAGATGGGGTTTCACCACGTTGGCCAGGCTGATCTCAAACTCCATCATGAGCTCCGGTGATCTGCCTGCCTTGGCCTCCCAAAGTGCTGCGATTACAGGTGTGAGCCACCGTGCCCAGTCTGACAATATTCTGGTTTTTTTGAAGTTTTATTAGAGAAAGGGCAGAGGGGAAGGAGATGAGCCCCTCGGAAATAAGTAAATGTGGGTTTGTGTGATAATCCTTCCAGAACAGAGACTTAATCTGGATTCTGGAACCCTCAAGTTGTATGTGAAGTATTGCATGAAAAGTAGTAGTGCATTATTCTGGAGATAGCTCTTTGGCTTTATTAGGTACTCAAAGGGATAAATACTCCCCAAAAGTTAAGAACCACAGCTGTATTAGGGTCCTAAACTTTCTTCTATTTTGTATACAAAAATTATTAGGAATAAAGATGATTTTAACATAAGGGACTGCTAGGTGGGGCCCAGTGGCTCCCACTTGTAATCCTAGCACTTTGGGAGGCTGAGACTGGTAGATCATTTGAAGTCCAGAATTTGAGACCAGCCTGGCCAACATGGTGAAACCTGTCTCTACTGAAAATAAAATTAGCTGGGTGTGGTGGTGGCATATGCCTATAATCCCAGCTACTTGGGAGGCTGAGGCAGAAGAATCACTTGAGCCTGGCAGGCAGAGGTTACAGTGGGCTGAGATCATGCCACTGCACTCCAGCCTGGGCATCAGAGTGAGACTTCGTCTCAAAGCAATATGAAATAAGGGACTGCTGTAGATGAGTGCTTCCTAACCTTTTCATCTTGTGAAACAGAAAGACACTCGTATGACACTGGGATAAACAGGTACACCAGGATAAGCTGTTAAGGCTGCTTGTAGCCAGAAGTGACTGGCCAGGCCCGCCTCAGCCCTAAAGACATTGGTATCTCTTTATACGTAGGATCTATTGATGGCATCATGGTTGGGAAATTGTATGGACTACCTTAGTCTATCAAAAACCAGCTTTTACCCAGCACAGTGGCTCATACCTGCAATCCTAGCATTTTGGGAGGCTGAGGCAGGCGGATTGCTTGTGCTCACAAGTTTGAGGCCAGACTGGGCAACGTGGTGAAACCCTGCCTCTGCAAAAATACCAGACACTAGCCTGGTGTGATGATGCATGCCTGTAGTCCAGCTACTCAGGAGGCTGAGGTGAGAGGATTGCGTGAGCCATGGAGGCAAAGGCTGCAGCGAGCTGAGATCGTACCGCTGCACTCCAGCCTGGGCAATAGAGCCAGACCTCATCTCAAAATATATATATATTTTTAATTAGCTTTCAGGCTGGACATGGTAGCTCACACCTGTAATCCCAGCACTTTGAGAGGCCAAGGCGGGAGGATTGCTTGAGCTCAGGAGTTTGAGACCATCCTGGGCAACATAGCAAGATACTGTCTCTACTAAAACTTTAAAAAATGAGCTGAGCATGGTGGTACACGCCTGTAGTCCCAGCTACTCAGGAGGCTGAGGCAGAGCCCAGGAGGTCGAGGCTGCAGTGAGCGCTGACGACACCACTGCGGTCTAGCCTTGGCAACAAGACCCTGTCTCCAAAAAAAAAAAGCTTTCAGTCTAGCCATAGCGCCCTGCATACTGTGACGGAAGGGTAGACTTCCAGCTGTAGAATCCCAGTGCCCCAGACTCAAAGCAAGTGTTAGCCTTGAAGCCTTTTGACTTCCCTTTGGTCCTATTAACCTCACCTACCCACTGGATATGAAGAGGCAGATATTGAAACCTTGGCGCCTTTGTGGGGTGCAGAGTGAAACAGTCGCAGTATGAGAATCTTATAACCAGAACAAAATATTATTTTGGGTTTGGTGTAGTTTGGGGATTTGCCAGAATTTAAGGATTCATCTGCCAGGCTTTATTACCCTGGAAGAGTTTGAGCTCCCGTTGCAATGAACTAGAGGGGTTTTAGCTCCAGAACAGACAGATTGTTGAGTTTGCTGTTTGTTCCTTACTCCTTACTAAAAGATGCTCTCTCTAAATTGGCATCCAAACCAGTGTTCTTAAAGTAGAAGTCTGGGGAAGCAATTAGCCAGGATAGTTGTCCTTAGCCAGCTCCAGGATTCCCCCATCTTCACTGGAAAACATCCTGTGGATGTGGCAGAACTTATTCAACTCACAGGTGACAGTTATTTGCAGGCAGGTTAGTCCTCTGGCCGGGATGGTTCTAGAAACCACACAGCTTCTCTGTGAAATGAACCCTCTGTGTTGGCTTAATGACTGAGCACATGCCTTGTCACTGTTGCATCCCTAAGCATGCATGTGGGTACCACTTTCTGCAGTTCGGTTGGGTACTTGGTGTGCTGTCTTGCCAGTTAACCTCTTTGAGCTGTCTCAACCGTCCGTTCCTCCTCTTTCCTATCATCACACCTGTCCCAGGACTAGGTCTCACGATCTCAGTGATGGATAAATACAGCAGCTCTCTACCCACCTGAGTTCAGGGTGAAGAATAGAATTCCAAGTGACTTTTCAAAGAACCATTTCTCAACTTTCATTTAGCAAATATTTAGGAACGATCATGTGCCAGGTCTGTTTTCATCAGAAAACAGAGCTGAGGAAGACACCGACCTTGCCCTCAACAGGCTCTCAGGACCAGCTTCACTTTCTCCCTCTGTTGCCCAGGTGGGAGTGCAGTGGCATGAACACGCCCCCAACTTCTCAGGCTCAAGTGATCCTCCCACCTCACCTTCCCAAATAGCTGGGACTTCAGGCACACACCACCACTCCCAGTTAGTTTTTTAATTTTTTGTATAGATAGGGGTCCCACTTTGTTGCCCAGGCTGGTCTTGAACTCCTGGGCTCAAGCAATCCTCCTGCCTCAGCCTCCCAAAGTGCTGGGATTATAGGCGTGAGCCATCATGGCCAGCCTGGCAAGCTAATTATTTCCTGCCCAACTTCAAGTGGTACTCTCATCCCTAATCAAATGCAAGTTCTGCCTGACATTCAAGACTTTCTGGCCAGGCGTGGTGGCTCACACCTGTAATCCCAGCACTTTGGGAGGCCAAGGCAGGCGGATCACCTGAGGTCAGGAGTTCGAGACCAGCCTGGCCAACATGGTGAAACCCCATCTCTACCTAAAAATACAAAAACTAGTTGGGCATGGTGGTGGGCACCTATAATCCCAGCTACTCTGGAGGCTGAGGCAGGAGAATCACTAGAACCTGGGAGGCAGAAGTTGCAGTGAGCTGAGATTTCGCCACTGCATTCCAGCCTGGGTGACAGAGCAACATTCCATTTCACACACAAAATGCAAAAATTAGCCAAGCATGATGGCACATGCCTGTAAATCCCAGCCGCTTGGGGAGGCTGAGGCAGGAGAATTGCTTGAACCCGGAGGCAGAGGTTGCAGTGAGTTGAGATCGCACCACTGCACTCCAGCCTGGGTAACAGAGTGAGACTCTGTCTCAAAAGAAAAAGCATGGCCAATGGTCAACATGGTGAAACCCTGTCTCTACTAAAAATACAAAAATTAGCCGGGTATGGTGGCATGCACCTGTAATCCCAGCTACTCAGGAGGCTGAGGCAGGAGAATCCCTTCAACCCAGGGGGTGGAGGCTGCTGTGAGCCAAGATCGTGCCACTGCATTCTAGCCTGGGCAACAGAGCAAGACTATGTCTCAAAAAAAAAACAAAACATTAATGGCCAGGCAAGGTGGCTCACACCTCTAATCACAGCACTTTGGAAGGCTGCGGTGTGAGGATCACTTGAGGCCAGGGATTCAAGACCAGCCTGGCTAACATGGCAAAACACTGTCTCTACTAAAAATACAAAAATTAGCCAGGTGTGGTGATGAACGCCTTTAATCCTAGCTACTCAGGAGGCTGAGGCAGGAGAATTGCTTGATCCTGTGGGGGTGGAGATCTCAAGAAGCTGAGATTGCACTGCTGCGCTTCAGCCTGGGCAACAGCAGGAGACCCTGTCTCAAAAAAAACAAAAACAAAAACTCAATGGAGGATTAAATTAGTTAATATACATAAACGTGGTGCCTGATATACAGTAACTCAATAAAGGTTGTCTCAAATTTAGCATTTAATTTCTTTTTTGTTGTTGAGATGGAGTCTCCCCGTCACTCAGGCTGGAGTGCAGCGGTGTGATATCAGCTCACGGCAACATCCTCTTCCCAGGTGCAAACAATTCTCCTGCCTCAGCCTCCTGAGTAGCTGGGACTACAAGCACGTGCCACCACGCCTGGCTAATTTTTGTACTTGTAGTAGAGACGGGGTTTTGCCACGTTGGCCAGGCTGGTTTCAAACCCCTGACCTGAAGCGATTTGCCCACCTCGGCCTCCCAGCGTTCTGGGATCGCAGGCGGGAGCCACCGCACCCAGCCTAGCATTTAGTTCCATGCCGTACTGTTTTTTGCTGTCGGTTTTCTTTCTCCAGTTGGATCAC